TTCCTATGTAAGTATTACCACTGTGTCTTCTGTACAGACATGAAATTACTCTGCCTCAGTTCCAAAAGTGCCTGTTCATTTATGCATGTGCCATTACCTTGGACATTGAGTTAATGATCCCTGTTCTCTGTTGCTTGCTGTAACAAGAACATGAGAACTGCCATAAGGGGCCAGACATCAGCCCAGTTTCCAGTCTCTCTGTACTTCCAATTAATTTATATAAATATTTAAAATATAGGAATTTCTACACATGCACAGCCACCAAACCAGAGATGAGTATGAGTTTATTTTATGTGCCAGTAATGTAAGGCACTGGAATGAATGACCCCCTACCAAATGTGAATGAAATCTCTAGGAAATTTACTTTCAGTCTTCTAAGTTCTGTATATTAATGCTGGCTAACAAATTAGGTTTCAGGCAAGTTATCACATAGGAAAATCCTTTTGACCTTAATCTCTCAGTGTGTCAGTCTTGACAAGAGTCATGCAGAAGAGGTAGCACATGCCTGTAAATAGAGAACTTATGTGCTCCACAGTGAGCTGCCCAAGCTACCGCAACTCCACTGTGTTTTAATGTGTAATGTAACTTCTGGGTTGCCTGATGCTGTGTGCCACTTTAATAAAATAATTTAAGTATCAGATACCATCAAAGAGGGAGAATGGATGCTTTGTTCATTAACGTTTTTACTTCCTAGTCAGTATTTACCATACTGAGAATAAATAAAACGTTTTGAAATTATGCAGGGAATGCTGAAATAGAGTTTTTAATATTTATTAGATCTCAGGTATGATTTATAGTTCCCTTGGTTACAAACAGCCATCAAACAGCTATAGTTATGGATCACTGTGCTCTAGTTCACCTGTTGTAGCCATGGACTCCTTGTACTCTTTTCTCAGAGAGCCCTCTACTGACTTTAAACGCAGTATTTGGAGACAAATATCAGATAGCCCAAAGTATCACGTGAGCTGTGGTGTTAATACGTGTCATGATACTGAGGTACATTTCAGTACAAAAACAATTATAGTACTGTTGAATTTTTGAGAAGTTCTGAATTTTCAAAAGTTGACAGCTTTAGTTCAAAGCAAATATGGTTGCATGCATATGACCAGATTTCTGTTTCTTTGTCTAATCAGGGGAGTATCCTTCTGGTGCTTCATAAAAGTAGAAGGTAGAAAACCAGTCATTTACTCATCCACATGCCACAGGCTTTTCTTTTATGACCTGGTTAGCTTTTGGGGGTGCTGAATAAAAGAAGAACAAGTGTGAAGACTGATTATACAGGAAAAATGTGTAAGGTACATTGAGATCTCCATGTTAAAAACACTTTTTAATTTATCATGAGTCTCATGATTACTGCCATTCATCCTGTAATACTGGGTGCTGAAATCGTGCCATTGCTTGGCAGGCACAGGTTTCATTTAAATAGACTTTGTTTCTTGTGTTTAAAAAATCTGTTAATTTGATGGAGGTCTGGAAAAGAAAAAAAAAAGAGCAGAAAGTAAATTTGGGAAATATACCCATATTATCAAATATTTAATTTTGCAGGATGAGAAGGCTGATTATTTTAATGTTTGAGTGATTATTTTAATATTTGAGATTGCTATTGTTGGGATTCTGAGAGGGGATCTTAATGCATGCAGAGATTTATTCCTTATTTGCACAGATTTGGAGACCGAAATCATTGTTGATATTTGGGTTAATGCCATTGGATCTCAGCAGATCACTGTGCTGGTCTCTACAAGTGCAAAGGGAGTTCTTGGTGCAGAGAAATGTACTCCTGAGGTTAGACGATGCAACAACCTATCCCAGATGTTACACTGTTTAATTTACCTTCAAAAGAATAAAAAAGAAGAAAAACAGGGTTAAAGAGTATTTATGCCATGCTGTTATTAACACCCTAAACATCACAATGTCTTTATATGCCCTTTCTCAGCCATGAGCATATATGATAGGATGGAAAGCAGATTGTCATCCCTGCATTGTCCATCTAAAATGGACAGCAGTTAAGATGTAAAGATTTAAGACATGTCAATAATAGCATACAGATTCATCATAAAAAAACATTTTCTGTGATGAAGGTGTTCCCCTCCTCCTCCAATTTTAGCTCGTTTTCCTATTTACAATGTGAAAAAGCTAACAAGATAAAGGATGTTTCTTATTTACATAGATGAACACATCCTGTATTTAATCCAGTTGCTATTTTATGGTTGTGCTGTCTTTTGGGGATAGAGCTGACTTTTATTTGCTTCCTATAAAGAGTCTTATACTGTAAGGTAAAAGATCTTGAAAAATGTTACCTTGTGTGGTTCATAGTTATAAACCTCTTTTGAATATTCAGATTTATTTTGCAATATACCGTGTAACTACCATTATCATTGTAGTTTTGATACTTATATTTATCTTGAAAGTAATTGGAAGTTTGTTAAATGTCTTTTAGTTTACTGAAAATTATCTTTACCAAAATCAAGTGTGGTAGCAAAGTTATTATTTTTTCATTTTAAATTGTAAAAGAAAAGAGTTTCAGATTCAATTAGTATTTGAACTAGTATTTGTTTCTTTAGTCTGGATGACTGTGCATATGTTACATCAGTCATACATGCTGTGTGTACATTATGTATAAATGTTACTGAGAAATGTTCATTAGTGTTATAACCAGTTCAGTATGGGAATGGAATAAATTATGCTGCTGTACCATTTCAGTTTATGAGAAAATAGTTGCATTTATTCTTTACTAAGTTATTCTTGCATTTAATAATTCAATAGTCAGTCTGAACCATTTCTCAGTGGGGAAAAGGGGTCAGAAGCTTATCTTTATTTTCTGTGTATATTCTGTGTTGTACTCAGGGGAATGGTATATCCAAAAATAAGACTATAAATAAGAAATCAGTGGCCTTTCTTGTCTTGGTGTATTATGTGAATTTGATATATGCTTCTGCAGAATTATTACTTACTCTGTTCAAACCAGTGCTCTGAGTTTTCCCTTGTGTGATTGATTATTACTTCTGGATTAGCCCCAAAAGTGCATGATTTAATAAACACCACTGTTATCTATGTACTATCACACAAATGTCTGTAGCATTACTTGCAGAGTAATAAAGTTTCCAGAATGCTTTGGTTAGTCATGATATTTTTTTGTAGAATTGCATTTGAACAGCAAAGAGAAAACTTGAGTCTTCTGTAATCAAAAAGCAAAATTACTTGGAAGAAATAGAAAAGAGTGTCATAGAAGGATTTCAGTGTTTACTTTCATATGGCAAAATTTAGAATTCAGTGGGTTTGGGCTTGATATAGAATGCCTTTTCTTTAATAGGATAGTATTTCTTTGCCACAATTTCTTTTCCAAAGCAACTCACAGGTTGTTGATGTTGTAGGCAGTTGTGCCTTGAAGTTCGATGCAGGACAACGAAGGATTTTACATGGCATTTGAACATCTAGAAACAGATGTTTGCAGTTGCTTATGGCTGGATGATATGAACTTGTTCTTTACTTCTCATGATAATATCCTGACGTATTATTACTTCCTACTTTTCTTCTACTTGACTTTGGCAGTATTTTCTTTCCTAGAAGTAAATCTCAATACATCAGACTGCAGCCTCCGATGTAGGCTGCAGTCTGATATGCAGCGTATTCCTTTCGTCTCTATATCAACTCAGTCTGTGGCCAGATCAGAAACTATTTTCTAAATGCTTTCTTAGAATTGTTGTTGGAGTTCTATTAATCTTTCTCCAGGAAACTTATCTTCGTGGTTTTACCGTTTTCATCCACTTTCCAGGGAGAGACTTTTCCTCTTCAATTGCTGTACTATTGTTTTCAATGTTATTGAGGATTGTTGTCTTTTTCTACTTGGTTTTATTGTAGAATTAAAATGCTACTTTCAGCATAGCTGCTATCATATTGCTTTTGAGGGACAGATATTATTTTAACCCCCCAACACCTGGGGAAGCATTGAACAATATGATTTTCTTCAGTCCACATTTTTACCAACAGGATCACCATCACCTGCAGCCATCGTTCCATTTTAAAGCACAGCCTTACAGCTGTTTTTATTCTTTTTGCAATATCAAGTACGAAAGAGATGAATGAAAGTTTCTTGCATGGTCTTGTCAGAGTGTTTTTATAGCTGCCACAAACAGTGATGGACTTGGCAGCCTAGAGATCAGAATGCTCTGTTTAATCACAGGCTAAGTATAGGCCATCAGAAAGACACATTTCTAGACATAGCCTCTGTATCATGTCTAAGCCTTGAGCTGGAGTATGACTTCTATAAATGAAAAAACAGTCAGTCCTTGGCCTTGCCTCTTAAACTTCTGAAAAGAAGCATTCAGAGCACTGAGTTTCATGACATGCTACTATCTATTCCAAGGTGGACTGAGTTCCCTTTCACTTATTTGGGAATTTCTTTCTGTAAGGTACTGAGAAAATCCAGTTCGGTAATTGTACATCTCTGTGTATCAAGTTGTTACTTATCTCTTTAAGATAGTTTTCAGGTGTGCTTATATTTAGCCATGTGATTTCTAGACAAGACTTTGATTTGAAGTTCCTTAATGTTTGTGTTTTGTTTTGTTTTGTTTTTTGTTGTTTTTTTTGTTTTTTGTTTTTTTTAAAGTAAACTCTTAAAATCTGATGATTAAAACCAGAGAACTAAAAGGACGAACCTCATTTCTATTTTTATAGGAAGTTGAGATGTTTTATTTGAAAACAAAGCAAAACTAAAGCAATGCAGAGGCTACTGTAATGTTCTAGTTCAAAAGGAAAATACTGGGTATAATTCTTTTATGGGTTCATGATTTATAATCCCTTTCCATCTTTTCACTTTGTAATAGAAAGACAATGGTCTATTATTTTTTTCCTTTTCACAGGGATGTGCCTGTGGGATAGTAATCATTTCTTTCTTGAAGATCAAGTATAATCAAACTGTGTTTGATTCAGAAGAAGTTCTGGCTATTAAAATTGTTATAAACTATTTGACAATTTTGTGTGTATTTTCTTGTATTTTTCAGTTTTCAGGACATGCAACTTTGCAAATTGCCAGTGAACCAGTTTTGCCATTTAATGCCCTCGACATCGCTCTGGAAGTTCAGAACAGTCTGAGAGGTAATTCTTAGAGGAATGTTAGAGAAAAAAGGGGTCATCCACTCCGTGATACAGATTTTCCATTTCCACTTGAATGATAGCCTGTGATTTTACTAGCTAAACACATCATTATATAATACTTTTTTTGGTAAATAAAGCCATAAATTGTTTATATTTCTTCTGATGTTACTGTGTTAGTTAGTTAATAATTGGTGTTAGAATCTCATAATTGCAGTCAAAGATAACAACCACTGTGACTGAACTCCTTGTTTTTAATTCACTTCAAGGCTGCATTCAGTACACGCTAGAGAGGGCTTCTGATCCCGCTGCTATTTGTCTCTGAAATTTTAGCTGTCATCTTCCTTGCTTGATTACTGCCATAGCTCCCCTTCCCAGTGGGACATACTAATTTTTTTTTCAACCATGACAAAGCACGATCATTTACCAATGCATATCACCAAATTGTGGAACCATTAGAAGGAATCTCTGGAAATCATCCAGTCCTCCCCCCTGCTAAAGCAGGTTCCCTGGAAGCTCTGTATTTGAAGCTGAATGATCTTGATGTGTTTCAGACAATGGGCTGGGGCTAGAGGTACAAAAAGTTCCTGGGCTTAAAGGAAGCAAAATTAATTGGTAGATGCAGATATAATTGAGCGCTTGGCACTATTTTGTGGTGTAGGACGAATGCTTTGATATGAAATTTCTCTATCAAGATGGTGGATCCATTATTAATACTGTCGGTGAGATTTCCTGTTTTGACATATAGGGAAGCAAAAGCTGTGATGTAAAGCTCTTTAGCTGACTCAGTGTCAGTTGCCTGTTTCTTCTGATCAGTTAGGCCCTTTCTTCTTCTCAGAATGGATTTTTTACAGATGTTATGGCAGCTGAAATACTTGTGATGATAATTACAGGTAGTGCTAGCAGGAGTTAAAAAATAATCTGGTTTTTGATAAGCTATTTCCAGGAAAGTCTGCATAACTTTCCACAGGCCTGGCTCAACTCATACATTTCAAAACATCATTCTGAACTCCCTGTCCTTAGAAAAATCAATACAGAAACATATCTCTGTCATTTATTTGATGACTGCACGCTCATTGCCTACAGCTATCTACTAGTCTTCAGCTTGGGAACATTTCACCTGCTTGACCATATTTCCCTGATCATTTAGGATGCTCTTCAGAGTTGCTCACTCCATATCCCTGTAACGTTCAGAGAGTTTTCTCTATTATTCCCACCCATTATTCTTGACTCCTAGTGAAATGAAAAAGGCAACAGTTATCTATATGTATAACAGAAATACCTTATTTGCTGTGAAATACTGATGTCTTCAGTGTCCTTTCAAGGATATTACATATCAATACTGGTAAACCTTACATAAGAAAATGATGCAAAAATGCACTTTCCATGAAGAAAGCATTTGGTACTGAAATAGAAGGATGGGCATCTATTCTGTATCAGTACTCCATATTCGGTTCAGCAGCTCTGTGCAAAGCCATTGATAATTTCCTGTGTGTTGATGTGCATAATAAAATGTCACAACATGCCTTTTTAATGTCTCTTTGAAAAGAGACTTGTAGTAGCAACGGCAGATTAGTTTGCTTGGGCAGCAGCAGTCATGGTAGGAAAATCAAAGCTGATGGCAACGTATTTGTTGCACTGAGAATGTCCTTGGATTTATGTTTCTGCCCCCTTTAGCATAATTTCTACAAAGCTTTCACTTTCAGATTTTCTACTGCCAGATCTGATCATCCAATTTTGCACAGCATGAAAATTTTTCTCGTTAATACAGCATCACACTATAGCCAATCCTGAATGTTCAATCTAATCAAAACCTGAAGCAATTTCCCCTCTTACGTGCAAACACATGTTCATGTGCATGGAGTGTGTCATGCCTTACGTGATGTTTTATCTGTTCCTATTCTTCCTAGGCAAGCACATTGGTCCTAGGGGGCACAAACACAATTTAAAAATGTTAAATCACTCTCACTGCTTTTCATTAGAGCAGGTGCTTTCACAAGGAAAGGCTACTATGCTCAGAATCTGTAAAATAACAATAGTAATATATATATATATATATATATTTGATGTAACCTATTACTGAATACAATCCAGTTACATTTAGAAAGTGTAATTTAGAAAGTTCAGCAGTATAATTCACTGATTGAGAGCATAATACATACTCTTGAGTCACTTTCCTTTGCTTGCAATTTTATTTATTCAAGAACTAAACAACTACCTCAGATGATTCATCATGATTCATACTGGAAAGATAAGGACAAAGAATACAAATATAATGTCACTGTTTTCTCTTGAGGGAAGAAATGCTTCCATTTTCTTCTTTTATCTGTAGAATCATCACAGAGTGTTTTATGTCATTATTAGTTAATTTATTTGGAAATCATTTGCCCTTCCAATCCCAGCTTTTCAACTTGAGCAAAGCATAAATCACGGTTTCCTTTGGCACTGAAGTCCTGTGTGTTGCGATATAAACCACTGATGCCCTTAAAGCAGTGTCTGTAGTTCTTTCTGACCACAAACTGAAGTGTTTGTTTTATAACGCTTGCTGGTTTAAGATGTGATGTGATCTGTGCTTTTCACTGAAACTGAAGGAAATGTAGGTGGTTTAGGGACAAAATGAATACTATGGAGAAGCAGTATAAGCATTTATTGCATTTTCTTTGTTTGAAAGTGTGGTCTGAATGGATTAATTTCCAAATACGGAATGATGTATTTTGCCTTTATCTATCCCTTCCTGTTGAAGCCATAGCTAGTGTTTACAATCATTTATATCATATTCAGAATAAAAATTATAAATATTGTATGTTAGAGAATGAAGTGCTCGGTCAAAACCAAAGCATTACTTCTAACAATGAATTTAAACCTTTCCATACTGCCTGCTGCAAGTCCCAGGGTGAGATCTGCACAGTGCCTGCAAGGTCTTCAGCTGTGCAGGAGATTTATCTATGATTTGAAAACAGAGGATACAGATATTTTGCAAAATATTCCAGCTGCACAAAGTTCATATGCTTGGAGAATAGTTTTCTGGGGTATTGGCCTAACTTACTTTATATTCCTCCAGACTCAATGAGGAGGATACCAAACCTGTATGTGAAAAGTGTTGTTAAGCCACAGATTTTGAAATGTTGAAAGAAATTTAATGAAACTCCATAAATTATATTTCTTTATATAGCAATCAATCTGGAATCTAAGCACAAGCCCCTCTTTCATGCTTGAGAGCAATAGCATCCAATGGCATGGAATGAATACGGTCTCAGAAGGCAACTTTACTGATACTGACAGTTAAACGTTGCTTCCTTCATGGCTGATTTTTGAATGGTAGGTTACAAACTCATAGTTTATGAAATCCTAAAATATCAGAGTCCGTATCAATCCTCTTTGAAAAACAGATCAGAGCATATGGACAATGATCTGTGGCTTTCCTTGGCCTGTTACATAATTCTTAAGAGGGAAAGGAGGCTCAGGGTCTAACTCAACTGTTATTTTTAATTTATGAGCAAGAGTTCTAAATGATGTTACCAGAAACACTGGCAACTGTCTTTCTCTTAGTGTTCCTAGGTGAAGAAGTAGATGCTTCTCAACTGCTTGCAATGGCATCACGCCTGAGAGACACTGCAGAATTGTTCCAATCAGATGAGATGCGCCCAGCTAATGACCCAAGGGAGAGAGCTCCTATCAGAGTCAGGATGCTCAACGATGTGCTGCAAAGCCTGGAAAAAAGCTTCCTGGTTCAGCAAGCTCCTCCAGGACTTTACAGGTAGGATGTTTTACATGTTCCTTGTTTGACCTAAAATGCTAATCTTACCCTGCTTGTTTTTCAGAACTGTCATTGCCTTCTAAAAGAAATTGCAATGAGTATCCAAGATTAAGGCTTTTTTTGTCTCATCTTTTCTGCAGAAAACATAAATTCATTACATTACAAGAGGTCATTAGAATGCAGCAGAGTAGCATTTCAGTCATGACATCGCTGCTAACAAGATGTACTTGTGATGGCAACTCAGGCAGCGTGACAGATACTTGTATTAGTTGGTACAGTAAGCTTTTAAAAATGGAAAATATTTTGAAGTCTTATAGTGCTTTACAATCTCCACTTATATTTTATTTAAAACTTGTGTAGTTCATTGAAAATTCAGAATTATACAAGATCCTGTGGAGCATTATTTAACATATTTAATTATATAGTTCTTGTCTGATTTTCAACCAATTGGAGACAACGCACTGCGGTGAGTGATAGAGCCTTAGTCACCATTCATAACATCCCGTCTTCTGTTAGATTTTTTCTCTAACATGTATTCAGCTGCACTAGCCAGGTAGGTCTTAAAATATCATCATTATTCTATCTTTTGCTTTTTACTTTTTAAGAAAGTCTGCAGATCTGTATCACTGACCCACAGATTCCTTGGCCCCACATACATGTTTCGCATAGTGTGGGCTACAAAATGAAGGCACATGGTGTAGATTTAAAGGACTCTGCAGCAATGACTCATACATACTTTCTGCTGGGGGCATCACCTGGCAGAACTGTCCATATAGCCATACCCAGGTTTCACTGTAGAGGGAAATGATTGGCATACCCAAAAAAGAGCTCAGAAATCAGCTAGCATACATATACAGTAGACAGACCAGAGGGAGCATTACACAGAAGGAATTGAGGGATCTGTGTTATGTGAGAATATCAATGTGCTTACAGACATAGCTAACTGAGGTAATAAAGCACTACTTTGTTGCAACTGATGGGAAAAATTGTCAAATGCCTGTTTAAATTGGTGCAAGTGACTGTTTCAAGCGGGCACAAATTAGACAAATGTTAGAAGTAGACTTTGGGAGAAAGGCAAGAAGATACAGCATCAGGAGGAAGAGATTCTGCCAAGCATTAAGAATGGCATAAAACTAATGCAGTCACCTTTTAACAATACCAAAATGGAAAGACAAGGTAGTTGCAGTGAGCTCTACCATGTCAGTGAATAAGATTCTCAGATCTATAATAAAGAAAATATAATAATGATGTTTGGGGAGGGGCTAGTTTACTTAATTCCTGCCATGACTGCATTCGTAATATAAAGAAACACAGTGAAATGTTACTAAAGAAATAATAGTATTCCAGGTTTAGCACTGGTGTCTTTCTTGTTTGAACTGGTTTGATGTAGCAAAGAAACCATAAAAATTCTGAATATAACATCCATGTTGCATCACAGCAATAGATCACTGAATCTGTCCCTGTGTATGAATTTATCCTGATATTTAAAAAAAGAAAAAAGGTATACCAAAACTTAGGATTCCAATGAGATGAATTTTTGAGGTCTTATAATGTTCTAATTCTTGCAGTGCTTGCAGTATTAATGCTTGTTATTCAGCAAGTTGTAATTGCTAGAGATACAGGTATAACGTAAATTAAGTTTTTCACCTTCCTGCTCACAGCAGCCCTTAGCACAGAGTGCAGTACTTACACTGGCAAAGTCGATGTGGTGGAGGTGAAAGTTTCCTCTCCTGATTTCATTAAATGCGATACAAGATTTAAGAGCAGATGATAAGGTTACTTCAGAGTCTGTGGGGAAGCATTGCCTGTGGCTTTACTCTGAACTATTTTACCTAACCTTATGTGTAGTACATAAAGTAATGTACACCTTATGTACCATCATTTTGATACTTTAAAAAATAAATTTAAAAAAGCATTATTTGTACTGTTAAAAAGGTATAGAATCATAGTGTAGGCTTAAATTTAATGCAAACAGAATCAGGGGCTGAGGTAGACTTCTGAATTCCTTTCCTGACCTCGAAAATCATTGGTATACTTTCTTCTGGAAAAAAAAAAAAAAAAAAGTTATCTAGCAGTATGTCTGTATTTGGATTATTTTTCTCAGATTAGAGTGGAAGTCCATCTACTAATTGATGCAGTTATACAAAAGTGTTTTGTGTTATGAAACTATTATTGAATAGTATCACACGTACACTAGGAATATTTGGGGGAAAAAAATGTACCTTTTTGCTTGTATAGCTTCATACTTTACTTTTTGTAATTTGGTAAAGAAAACAAAACAAAAAAGTCAGTCTCATAGCCAGGACCTCATATGCCATGTTTCATGCCAGTGGGAAGATGGATGGGCAAGTTATAAAGCCCTGAAATAGGGGTTTATAATGGAGATGCTGGCAGCCCTTTAACTATAGCAGCACAAGCAGTGCAGCAATAAATACTATGCTTCATCTGTAAACAGAAATTTAGGATGCAGTTTGCAGCCTTGACCTTCAGGCTCCAACTGTGTTTAGATCATTAAGATTCCATAAATACTGTAATTTATAGCGTTCTGAAGGAAGAATTTGTGTGCACAGTAAAGTACGTATTCTTCATGAAAAAATGATTGCTTCCTGTATACCCATTTGGGCTCATATTCTCAACCTCAATCAAAATATTTGACAAATTTGCTGAAGTTTAGGCATCATTTTTAGGCTTGTGTTTTGTCCTAATTCACAACTTTCTGGAACTATGCTGTTTGGCTGTTCTAGAAGTTGAACAAAAAAGAGTGGATTTTTGCTTTATTACAGGAGGAGGGTTGAAACCTACTTGTGCCTGTCAACTACAGGGAGCTAATACATCTTTCTCGTTTCTTCTTTGTATTTTGTTCTCTCATTGCCATAGCTGTGGCCGCTTCTTGCTGTATATATGTACTGTGTTTGTGTCGATTCCTCATTCCCATCATTGTCATGCAGTAATATTTGATGCATTATTCATCTATAATGAGCAATAATATTATTATGGTTACTAGCATAATTCAAATCATGGATAATTATATTAAGATGCTCTGATTAAATTTAAGTGACGAGGACTGACATCAGCAGGTTGTTTGGTACAATGTAAGTGTAAATGATTTTCCTTTTCTAGCTGAATTTCATGAAAATTTGACAGTACCGTACTCTTCCCATGGTATTCTGCTTCCGTTCAAGACGGAAGTATACAATTGCAGTTTTCATCAAAATATTTTAGTCTTATCAACAAATTTTGGCAGAATTAAAAATAATTTTTAAAAATGTTTGAGGAAGGATACTGCAGTCATAAATAAATACAGATTAAAGCAAAGACCTGGGGCAATTTTGTGGCAATGAAAGCAGCTTAGCTTGTCTGATATTGTCATGACTAGCTGAGAGATGTTTTCTCTTTGTCTCTTTCATGAACATCTTTGTCTTTTGTGCATCAGCGAATCAATTCTTACATTCTAAAAGTCTTGTGCCATGTTTTTGCATCTCTCTATGAACACCAGAAGCACTGGTACTAGCAATACCTCAGTAACAGAATAGCATGATGCCTTTAGCACTGAACAGCAAGGTAATCTGCATTGTAGGTAATTTCATGCCACTCCAGTGTTTGTTGTGCACTAAAACAAAACAAACTACTGCAGTTTTTCTGTTTCTTACTCCACGAATTTTAAGTTTCTGTGCTTCCCTTCCAGTCTTCTAGAAACTCGTGCCATAGTTACTTTTCTCTTTTTTTATTTGTTTGTTTTAGTTTCACCATTGCTTATCTGCAGCTTGGTCCTCTTTTCTTTTCATTTCCTCCTGCTCATTTGCATTTTCTGACCACTTGTTTGGCTCCTTTCTCTCCAACAGACATTTGACAAAATGTACTTTTTGTACTTAAAAATTCTTACTTTTTTTGCCTTATTCCTTGAAACTCTACATGGTTTGTGCACTCAAATCAGTTTTTCTCAGTTGAAGTTAGAGATGATGAGTTCAAATATTAAACATAGAAAAAGTTAAGCTTAGCTTCACGAAGAATTGCTTTTAGCTAATGGGAACTTGTGGCTGGGGGTGCAGCATGGATAGAGGAGGAAATAAGGTATTTTATTCATAACTTTGGGATGGATCCTGACCTGCTCCTTCCCAGCCCCTGTGATTTAATGTTGATGGAGCTGTGGTAATTGGTTCACTGGGTCAAATAGAATCTCTCTAGTTTCTTCCACTGGGATACTGACTCCTTAACTTTCATCTGTGTGTGGAGCAACTCAGTTATCCTAGCATAGATCAGTACTGGTTACTTATTTGATAGTGCTCTTAAAAATTCCTGCTGAAGTTATGATTTTTCTCATGACTGATAGTCGTGCTGAATTATGCCCTTTCTTAATGCTGAGAAGGCGGAATAAAGTCAGTATAATGCATACTCAGAACACCTGATCTGAGTGGCAATTTAAATGGCTTCTCCATAAGGATCACGTGTATACACAGTGACCACGAATCAACAACTATATTTGTTATCTTGTATGTTTTTACTATTTTATGAACATTTGCTGCATAAAGTAATACTGAATTAGACATCTTCAGAGATGTAATTATGATTGACTTTAAAGCTCGTGTAAACAGAGAATATGAAAATCTTTTCATTGTACTTGCAAAAGCAGAAAACCACTATGATTAGAGATTGTATCATGGCTGGAAACCAGCTTTCTCATTTCCCTGATATGAATGGCAGACCTGAGTGTATATACCTTTATTTATAGCTTCTTGTGAATTTTCTTCCATGTTTTCAACTAGATCAATTTTCACACTTCTAGAACTGCAGTTTGCATTGGACCCATTGTATTTCTGAAACAGTTTGTATCAGTATGTGACATAATAGAGCATTGGTGGCCGTGAAAACAAAACTTCATCCAGGACATACTATTTGTCATACTACCCTCAAAAGTGCATAAATTTCACCTCGTAATAAATCTGTGTCTTTTTGTTATAAATACATTTATTTGACTGCATGACCTGATTAGATTTTTAGCC